ATACGGTAATGAGTGTTGTATAGAATCGTAGAACATGAGGACTGGAAGGGACCTCATCCAGTCCAGCCTCCTGCTCAAAGCAGGACTAGCCCTAACTAGCTCATCCCAGCCAGAGTTTTGTCTAGCTGAGTTTTGAAAACCTCCAAGGATGGAGCTTCCACCACTTCTCTGGGTGACCTGATCCAGTGTTCTACTACCCTCCTAGTGAGAAATTTCTTACCAATATCTAACCTAAACTTCCCTTGCTGCAACTTGAGACTGTTGCTTCTTCTGCAGTCATCTGCCACCACTGAGAACAGTCCAGATCCATTCTCTTTTGAACCCCCCTTCAGGCAGTTGAAGGCTGCTATTAAATCCCCCCTCAGTCTTCTCTTCTCTAGACTAAATAAGCCCAGTTCCCTCAGCCTGTCCTCATATGTCATGTGCCCCAGACCCCAAACCATTTCCATTGCCCTCTGCTGAACTCTCTCCAATAGGAACCTATTCTGTTCTTAAACCAGAATATAATTGCTGACATGGAAAAATAATCCACCAAAAGCTCTTCTAATCACAGAATGTAGGGGTGTACTGATAGAGATTTTTTACAGCTGATACCAAAAGCTGATTTTTAAGGAGGCATATTGGCTGATCCTGATCTGATTTCTGATATGCAGCTCTTCAGCTTGAAGAGTTGCATCCAGCTGGTAAGTCTGGTGTGGTGGAAGGGGAGGGAAGGGGCGTGTGGAGGGGCAGATCAAGGCCCCAGCATTGAGGGAGGGAATGGGGCTGGAGAAGGTGCTGACCAGCCAGGGCAGGGAGGGGCAAGGGACAGAGCTGCAAGCAGCTCATGCATGGGGGTGAGGGGAAGTGCGTGTGCCCCCTGGATCTGTGTGGTGCGAGGTGGGCTGCAGCTGGGACTGGGGCTGGGGCCAGGGCAGGTGCAGGACAGCAGCATGGTTCACTGGAGGGAGAGTGGGGAGACTCCTGCCACTGCGAATGGCTTGTCTGACAGCTCCTGCTGCTGCTCCTGCTGCTCATCCAAGAGAGCATGAAGGGGGTGTGTGCCTCCAGATCTGCAGCCCCAGCCCTCCCCACCCTGTGTAGATTCGGGGGCACACGTTCCCCCCCCCCCCCCAGTGCCTCCTGGACAAGTGGCGGGGGGCGCCCGATGAGCACCGGACGAGCCATGTGCCATGGCAGGGGCCCCCCCCCCCCCCCCTGGGTAGATTCGGGGGCCCCCCTCCCCCCCCCCCCCCAGTGCCTCCTGGACAAGTGGCGGGGGGCGCCCGATGAGCACCGGACGAGCCATGTGCAGTGGCAGGAGCCGCGCCCCCTTCCCATGTCCCCTGACGAGCCATGCCTCTGTCCTGTACCCACCCCAGCCCCAGCTGGGCAGCCCTTGCCCCAGCCCCAGCCCCACACCCTCCATCACCACAGGGGCCTTGATCTGCACCCCCACACCCGTCCTCCCCCTCCCCTTCTACTCCACCAGACTTACCAGCTGCATGCAGCACTCCATGCTGATGGCTCTGCTCCTCACTGCCTACATGTTGCACTGCCACTGTGTCTACGGACAGGCTTTTATCGGACAAATTATTGGCCATATCGGGCCAATTTTCCAATACAGACATTTTTCTTTATATCGATGCCAATCCGATATTGGCCTGATGCATTGGCACACCTTTAACAGAATGCCATGTCCGCTGACCAAGAAAAGACTTATCAGGCTAGTCAAAAAGTGTGACCTGGGAAATTTGCAGGTCACTCAAGAAGCGCAGGTGGATAACCATGCTGAAACTGTTGGGGAACAGGACTTTACTATCATTCTGTGCTGTGGAAAATGACATGAAGTGAGGCTCTACTAGTACAGGTGACAAGTTCCTGTGATCCACGCGAATGGTGAAATCTGCAAATAAGGCACTGGGAAGGGCACAGCTCTGGTGGCAGGAGCCCAGCAGCAGCAAGTGCAGAGCTCCCAAGGAGCTTCTGGAAGTGTATAAGGGGTACCGGTATTTTCGGCATTTGTGAATATTTGAAACCGCGAATGCCGAACCCGCGAATAACAAGGGTTTCCTGTATTAGTTAAAATTAATAGGACAAGGGGCTGTTTTTTCTGATTTTCAATGTTTTCTGAATACCAGGTGTTCCTTATTGTGTTAGATAATATATAGCAGATAAAACAATGAATTGTGTTTATCTCCATTATACTGTCTTTAGCATAGGTTGCTTCTGTTTCTTTCCCAGACCCAAGGAAGGGCACTTTGTGCCTGAAAGCTTGTCTAGCATCTCTCCCAACTGTTGAAACAATAGACCTGAAAGCTTGTCTAGCATCTCTCCCAACTGTTGAAACAATAGAAAATAGACCTCCCTTGCAGCAGCACAGATTAATATCATTTCCCTTTGATAAAGTCTTTGGCATACTGCAGTTTGGGAATCTCATCTGTGCAAAGCTGTCAAGAACGTGTGCAGTGCCAGGCTTTGTAGCATAGCACAATGACAACTTAGACCTAGCACTGTGGACTTCCATGACAGCAGCCCTGATGTTTGATCGATCACTCCTAAGTGGTTAGCTACTGATAGCAACAGCTAGGGTTTGTGAGCTTCTGGATTGCAGTGCAACTTCCATGCCGATGGGGATTTTCATGGTCAGCTGCTGTTCTGGGCCAAGCTCTGCAGTTTTTTTAGGAAGGTGCTTCTTGTTTTACTGTGGTTCTGCTGCTGTTGGTCATTTTAGCTTTTAATTGTTATCCTGTTCCACCAATCACTGCCTAATGGCTTAGCTGGGTGGTGCTCAACCTTTTGGCCTTGTAAACCAAATGAGTGGGATGGGACTGGTCCATGAGCCAGATTGACCCTTGCATGCCAGGACTGGGTCCTGGGCCCAACACCGCTGGAGTCCTGTTTTCAGCAGCAGCTAGTTTCAACTTTTGGCAGAGCAGCTAAGAGCTTCTGATAATTTAGCTGTGAAAGGTTTAAAACTGTAGCCTTTGCCTGAGCAGAAAAGGAAGGGTGAGTGAGCTGATGATTAGGCCGTGTCCCTGCTATATGTGGCCATAACTCTGGAAAAAACTTTTTTTTCATTCTGACTTCCCACAAATAAGATGCTTGTCTTATTTGGGGGCACGTGGTCTGTGAGAAGATACGGTATTTAATGTTCGCTAAACTGGCTATTTAATGTTCAGTAAATGATTGTTCATAGGCACCAGCTTTTTTTTTGCTGGTGGGTGCTTGCAGGCGTAAACCTCCCCCCCCCCCGGAAAAAAAGAGCCCAGTAAAAACCTGGCACTTTACTTCTAACTCGGTGCATTCCTGTGCCAAGCCCCATGCATGCCCAGAAGAGGCAACATGTTACTTCTACCCAGTTCTGCTGTGTCTGTAAAGATTGAGTGCTTTAGTGGGGCTTTTTTGGCACTTTTATCTAATAGCTGATTGAATCAGCTTTAGTTAAAAGTGCCAAGAAGCATTGCTGAAGTGTCCAATCTTTACAGACACTGCAGAGCCGGGTTGAAGTCATGTATTTTTTTTCTAGTAAAGTGTGTGTTTTTTCTTTTTTTTTCTTTTTTAACATCTGCAAGCAGCTCTGTGGGTGCTGAGCACCTGCTAACATTTTTCAGTGGGTGATTGAGACCCAGAGCATCTAAGAAATCAGTACCTATGTTGAGTGTTTCATCATCATGAATGTGTTTGTTTTACTTTTTCCGTTGTATTATTTTTTTCTCACTATCACTCGAGGCTCTTTAAATGATTTCCTGCTCTGTTGCTTTTCTATTATATATCAGTTTATCTTACATTTATATCCCAGGTAGACGCTTACATATTTTTTTAACTCTTAGTCATTTGGTTATTTCAAAGTAAATACTGTCAGTTTTAAATACTGTTAATGACTTATTTCCAAACTTAAACCTTGTCTTACTTTATTCAAGCCAATTACATTTTTTTAATATTGAGCATCATCTTTACTAGATGAATGACCTTTGAGATTAGTTTTTTTGTAGTCCTATATCAATTTCTGATAGCTCATGTAAAGTATATTTGTAGTTGTCATTCCATTCTCTGTTGCTGCTATTTCAACCTTCAGGAAAAGGTCAGACTTACTGATTGTGGCCTGCTTTTTGAAGGTCATGACAGACATCCTTAAAAGGAATGAATCAAGTAGTTCAAGGCCAAAATGTGAACTTCTTAAAATTGTGACTATGCTCTGAATAGTGACATTGTTAAAGTTTCACTGGGGACAGCCCATGTTTGTTGACATTTAAATAATTTCCACTTTGCCATATACAAGTAAAGGTGCTTATTGTTTTGTCTCTAACTGCAAGTATTGCGAGCTCAGCTGGGGATCTTAGAAGTTGAACCCGTGTTCTTTGGCTAATCATAAAGATTCTGCTGTTCAAATTTTAGAGAGTCTAGACCCATGGTCCTTATGTTATTTACACTAATAAGCGTTGCAAGATGTGAACTGAGTTAACAATTCATTTGATGAGTAAGCTTGAATAGAATCCAGGCTAGTTTCCCATATCTGTATTAGATCTGATATGCAAAAGGGAACAAATAGTAAGCAAAATTCATTTTTGTCATTGAAATAAGCTGACACAATATAGAATATGCATAAGGAATTTCATTTATGAAGTTACCACGTTTATAGTCCTTCTTACTGTACCACTACTACCTCTATTTACCTTGTTTTATTATGGGTCATGTACAGTGTTGTTCGAGAAATAAAAACTTGCCAGCATGCTGGTAGAATACAGTGCTTCATGATTCCAGTGGCTCTGCAGCAGCAGTTCACTCTGAAACCATATTCTAGGGATTTAGCATTCAGGCGTAATTCTGAATTTTATGCATTTCTGCAGCCATCTCCTGTTGTGTCCCACTTTGAGAATCCCATCTGTGCTCTTCTGTTTACCCATATCATTTCTACAGTAAAACTTGTGGGAACAGAAGCCATTTTTTGCTGGGTAGGAGGTATAGATGGGAAGACAGTCTGTAATAGATTGCATAATTATTTTTTCTTTTATTTCCAGTATCTGAGAGTGGAGTATCAAGTGAAGATAAGGAAACTCAAAATGAATGGGAAGAACAGCAAATGAAGAAGGCACTCAAACTTTCTCAGGTAATATGTTTTTTCCTGCTATTGTCCCTGCTCTCTTCTCCAATGTAAGAGAATTTTTGGGGGGACCAGTGTTAAAACTTCTTTTTTCCATGTTCAGTAGACAAGGTTTTGGGGAGCTGACATTAATGCTTTAAGTGAGAGAAAGACAGGGGAAGAGTCTGCTAATGGTCCAAGGACAAACCCTGTTATTAACCTTACAGGATATATTCTTTGTCAAGCACTTGACCATTCACATGTTCCTCTGCTTGTGCATCGTGCTTCTCAGGCATTTAAGTTTGGAGACTTTTTTTGTCCTAACATAGCCTTAGCCTCCCTGTGCTCCACGCCTGGGCACAGAGAGTGATAAACACCTTCTGCTCCTCAGTTCCTCCCAGTTGGTTTGGTGCAGAACGGAATTTCTGTAGTCTGCTCCACACTAAAGTGTGTTCAGCCCTTGAAGTCGCCTTCTGACCCATGCTTTTTTTTCTCCTGTGCTTGCAGATCCATTTTGATTTTTAGTTCTTATTTCTCTCTCTCTCATTTTTGTCACAGTTTTCATTGTTTTCCGATGAGACCTAACACTCCATTGACCTTTGCCACATGGCTTTTCTAGTTGAGCGGGGCCATTTTCTTTTGCCATACCTGTCCTTTGTCTGCTGATATGGCTATCCTAAGCTTGCTAGGATTCACATTTTGTCCTTTCTGTGAGGAAGCTATCCTTTTTGTGGACAAGCATACCAAATGCCTGTACTCGTTGGGAGAGTCTCCCGCCCCTAAGACGTTCACTCGCCGTAAGTCATTTGTTTCCTGGGATAGGAAGAAGTATAAGGCCAGTGTCCACATTTACCTCTTGGGTAACTCCAAGGGGTTAGTTTTCAGTACCAGAGCACAGGATTCAGCTTGTTGTAGACCCTTTGGTTGGGGAAATTCATCCTCCAAAAGACCATCTTCTTAATTGCCCTCTCAGACGAGCAGCAGGAGCTGCCAGACAAGCCACGTGCAGTGTTGGGAGCCACCACCCCCACTCTGCCCCAATGAGCCATGCCGCTGTTCTGTGCCTGCCCTGGCCCGCACCCACAGCTGCAGCCCACCTCACGCCACACAGATCCAGGGGGCATACACACAACCCTCCCACCCCTCCCCACAAGCTGCTTCTGGCTCTGTCCCTTGCCCCTCCCTGCCCTGGCTGGTCAGCGCCTTCCCCTTCCCTAGCCCCATTCCCTCCCTCAACGCTGGGGCCTTGATCTGCCCCTCCACACACCCCTTCCCTCCCCTTCCACCACAGCAGACTTACCAGCTGGATGCAACTCTTCAAGATGAAGAGCTGAGTATCGGAAATCAGATCAGGATCAGCCAATATGTCTCCTTAAAAATCTGCTATCGGTATCGGCTGCAAAAATCTCTATTGTTACACCCCTACACAGGAGAGCTTTTATATTCCAAAATACTAGTCAGGTTATACTTGCCAGTATAGAGGTGTTCTGTACAGTCCAGAAAACTATTGATATAATTTGAGAGAGAGAGAGAAAGTAAGGGTACTCCAAACTGAAGAACTGTCCTTTTATTCAACTTTACTTTGCAAAACTTGTGCCCAGGAAACACTCTCCATTCAGTCTAGAAATATGCCCAGTTTGCTGCATATTCCAACTGTAAGGCCTGTCTATGCATAAGAAAACAAGTTACTAAAAAATAACACAGCTAATTCTTACAGGGAATTAATGAGGATGCTTTTCTGCATAAATCCCGAACCATGAAGATAACATTTGATCCCTCTGTTTCACTGCCACCTGTAGACTTAGAAATTGTAAAGAAGCGACTGACTACAAGGTAAATGCTAGTGGTTTGCAAATAAATATTGAGCAACCTGTGCTAAATACATTATTGTTTAATGTCTTTATAAACCATTTTGCAATCTTTCCCAAGTACTAGATGATTGTAGCTTTATTGTTTTACATGTATTTGCTGTATCTGAACAGTACTACAACTTAACACCAGTTTTAGGTCCCTGTCATGTGGTGAGCTATGTGCAGACAGATTGCCGCTCCCTTGGAAAATCCCGTTGATTTCAGTATTTAAGACTTGGTTGGATTCAGTAATGTAATTAAATGGGGGTGACCAGGGCACCAGTCTCTGGCTGTGACATAGGCATCCAAGACACAGAACTGCCCAGTAACACTTTGAGTTGGATTAGTTAAATTCTGACTTCTCTTGCATATAGAATAACATTTAGAAATGAGAATTAGATCTATAGGTTAATAGTGTTATGATATCATTTTTACCTGTCTGCCCTTGAAAGCTGAAAATAAAGATAAACCAATAACAATTTCATCTGTGTCATACAGAGTTAGATGTCTACTTTAGCATATGCTACAATCACACCTATATATTATTGTGGTGGACATAAAACTAGCTTTCTTATGCCATCTTAATCTATCAGGTAACAATAGCTATATCAGGTGAAGATATGGCAGTCTAGGCTTTAGCACATGCTAACAGCATGAGTGTGTGCCACAGGCCCCCATAGTAGCTAGGACACACTAAAGGCTACGCTGTTGCATTTTCACAGCTATAGTTATTCTTCTGAATTAGATTAAACTTGCCCAGATGTGTCAGCATGTGCTGCAAGCAGACCCACATATACCCTCACAGTAGATTGTTCAGCTCTTCATGAGACCATATTTTCTCTTCTTTCTTTTGTGATCTGAGGAATGCTGAAATAATAATGTTACATTTGATAAATACAACCATACCATTTGAACAAAAGATGAGACTTTCATAGTTTCATATTTTCATAGTTTCTAGGGTCGGAAGGGACCTGAGCAGATCATCTAGTCCGACCCCCTGCCATGGCAGGAAGAGCACTGGGGTCAAATGACCCCAGTAAGGTGGTCATCCAACCTCCTCTTAAAAACCCCCAGGGTGGGAGCCTGCACCACCTCACTTGGAAGCTGGTTCCAGACCCTAGCCGCCCTGACCGTGAAGTAGCGCCTCCTGATGTCCAACTTAAACCTTCCCTCCGCCAGCTTGTGACC